GCGAACGCTAGTGAATCAAGTTCTGAGTGGCTGCCAATAAATCCTACGAGTATAAACGAGGAAACTCCTTTACTAAATTTCGTTTGCGCTGCGTTGTTTTTGTCGCCGTTACCATTACTGTCATTGTCACTTTGACTATTGTTACCAGTATCAATACCACTACCACTATCACCACCACTATCAATACAGTCATTTTATGTTTTTCCAAGAGGGCAAGGTAAGGAATCCTGCAATCTGATTGGTTCTTAGCGCGGTCCGGATTTTCCTATCTCTACCCACGGTCATGGTAACGCTTTCGTGAGTTTTTGTCCTTGTGTTTAAAATCATCTGAGATGCTTCAGAAAAAAAAAAAGTTATTTGCCGGCTTAGGGTCGGTCCGTATAGTGAAAAACTGTGACTTCGGTCTTGAAAATGCTGCCCGCCCGGCAACTAACATATATGTCACGGTCATGGTCAAAATCACTGTCACTGTCACTGTCACTGTCACTGTCACTGTCACTGTCACTGTCACTGTCATTGTCACTGTCACTATCCACTTAAATTGTCACTGACTACGACTGATTATGTCTAAAACTACAGCTATGACCATGGCCATGACCGTGACTGTGACGATGACAATGACGATGACTGCGTGACTATGACTATTGCTATTTTAGTTACTGTTTCAAATACGCAGGAGCGCAATGCAAAGCTTGTCCTTTTATTTACAACAGTAAAACATATCGTGACCTAGGCGCTCTCTTGTTATATAGCAAAAAAATGCACTTTATACAAAATGATATACATTGGTGAGAAAGGTAGAATATTAGGCGCCCGTTTTGCGAACACCTAATAACCGTTCAAACCTGCCAAACCAATTTTTGAATATATAACAATCTTTAGCTTTTCTATCCTATGGTATGCTATGCTACGCTATGCCATAATCTGCTATTCGATACCATACCAATACCTTATCACAAAACGCATCGTACAATACTATGCCATGCTAGTTCTTAACTATACTCTAGTCTACTCTACTTTGCTATGCTTTACTATACTATATTATTCTATGCTATACTATACTTTTCTACACTGTATTATACCACACTTAACAATGAGATGCCCTATGACATACCATCTGTATCATACAATCTATGACATACCATCTAAGCCACATTATACCACAAGTTACTATACTATTATTGCTCTATACTAAAAAAATATTCTAATAGACTAGAAAACTACTAGACTACTACTATACTATACTATAATTAAACGTTGAACGGAAAGTTCATGGAAGATGCGTGACAGTTGAATTGTAAAAGTGGTTCGATTGATATAGTGACAAATATATCAAAACTGTCAGAAATGCTTCGGGTTTAGAACCCTTCTTAAATGTGGACGAAAACCGTTAGAAGACGCAATCTACTTAAAAACGTCAAATGAAACTGCGTGCGCATGTGACTAATAGCACGCGCGCATGTATAAATTATAAGTTTAAATGATGTTCAAACGGAGAACATTTCAGTCTATCTGGATGAGGTGTTGGCTCCTTTTGTCAAAACCCTTCCCACCTATGTCAAGGACACCAATCATGCATTTCATATCTTTGACTCTCTTAGCTTTGATACCACAGATCCAGGATCTCACTTTCTGTTCACCATGGATATGAAATCCCTATCCACGGTTATTCCAAATGACTGTGGAATGTGAGCATTGACCTACTTCCTGGAAAAGCGTGTTATACACTCAGAAGACTCGCAAAACTGGTAATTACTGTGAATTCCTTCTTATTTAATAAGGAATATTTCCGTCAAGTTAGTCGGGTTGCCATGGGAAGCAAGATGAGGCCAAATTATGCTTATTTATTCGTTGGGTGTGTGGAACATCAAATACGCGAACAATACACCGGATTTATTTCACAGTTACACAAGAAATACATTGCTGATATTGTGGGGGCAGCCTCGTGCAAAAGGGAGGAACTTGAATCCTTCATTGACTTCGTATCTAACTTCCATCCAGCGTTCCAATCTACATCCAGTATCACTGAAATAAAACTACCTTCTTTGGACATCAACCTACGCATTTCTGATGATAGGATTCAACCTTCTGTCTTCTACAAGGGAACTGATACTCATAACTACCTTCATTTTTCTTCCGCTTTCCATCCTGATCACTGCAAATGTGCTATTCCTTACCGCCAGTTTCTCCGCCTGGGTCGACTTTGCTCCGACGATGATGACTTCCATGTGGGTTCTTGGAAGATGATTACTTTCTTCTCGCAACGTGGTTATCCCATTTCTTTGCTTGAAAATGATCTGCGGAGAATTGCAACTATCCGCTGTCCTGATGCTCTGCGCCCATCTCAACAGAATAACACAACCGATGATAGGGCTCCCCTGGTTCTTACATACCACCCCTTCAACACCCAAATCAAACGATGTCTTCCTCGGAACTTCCGCATTCTATCAACGGATCAACAAACGCAAAACATTTTCCCACATCCACTTTTTGTGGCTTACAAACGCGATATCAGCCTGAGAAATATGCTTGTACACTCGGCTGATAACTCCTCTATTGGGCAGTCTGGATCACGTGGGTGTGAGCCTCCCCGATGCCACAATTGCAGGTGTATCAGTCCTCACACTTCCCTAAACGCTCCTTTCATATTCGGGACATGTTCACCTGCTAATCCGAGAATGTTGTGTATTGCATATTTTGCCGCCGTTGTCCACTTCTTTACATTAGAGAGACAGGACGAAGCCTCAGAAGTCGCTTTGATGAACACTTGAGAAGCATACGGAACAACATTCCGGGACTTCCTGTGGCCCAGCATCTCAACTCCACGGGCCACAGTTTCTCTGATGTCCAGGTGCGGGCTGTGCTTTTATGCGGGGGAAGGGGGGGGGGGGGGG